ATATATATATATATATATATATATATATATATATATATATACTTTTCTAAATCCATGACTATCTGAATTAACAAACTCAAGAACTTAAAATTGGTTAAAAGACCCAAGGAAAAAAAATGCTGCTTAGTTAAAAGTCAAAATAATTGTAGGTGTTGGTTTTTCAATAATATTATTTGTCAATCTAAAGTAATGACAAATCATATTCCCTCTCAGATCAGCATCACCAATAATTTACTTTTGTCTTGATATTCAGATGGCTCTTGTTGAACTTTTCCATGGATTTCGTGCTGATCACATTGCTCCATTACAGGCAATTCAGGTATGTTTAAATATTCTGACCTTTATAAAGGTAGAAAAAACAGTAAAAATGTAAAAGTAAATATTAAAAAGAACCTAGACTTAAAAAACTAGTTACTTATAACAAAGGAAAAACCCATGGTTTATCAACTCAGTACTTCAATGATAAAATATATTCAGACTAGGTAGCAAAGGGTAAAAACAGATGTTCAATGGAAGAGACCAACATTTAGTCCTCTTTACATGCTCCCAATAGATATTGCTATCATTGTACAATCTTTAAACAAATCTATTGCTAATGCTATTTACAGTTAGATAACAAAAGCTGAAATCTTTAGAAGCAGTTCTGAATTTAGTATTCTGATGGTTAGTTCTTGTTCTGTACTGATTGTTGAATAAATTGAATGTCATCCCTATATCTAGAATGCTCTTGTCTGAATGGAAAATTACATGTGCTATTGGTTTCTAGGCATCATGATAGAGGAACACTGAATTATCACCTGAGGTCCTTGGCTTACTTATTGGGAATACGAAGTTTGGATTTTTTCATCAATAAGAAGAGATAAAAATACCTTATTTTATAAGCCAGGTTGTTGTTAAGGTCAAGAGAGATAATGCACAAAAGTGAAATTTTAAAATTACAAAATATTTTATAAATTTGAGGTATATTAATATAGAATGAGCACCTGAATAGAAAGATAAGACTTTGTATACCAATATGGTTTATCTTTTTAAAGCACAGTATATTCCTGTCACTTAAATTAAGAAGGCAAAGAACCTGAAGTAGTTTCCTAGGAAAGAGACAATTCAATGAATATTAAAGTATTCTGTAAATGTAGAGTTCTAATTAAATTTAGGGTATAAAAGATAATGAAACCCTTATGATATTATTGCTTCATTATAGAACTAAATGATTACTGTGATTACTGTGAATAGTAACTAGTGATCACCTTTTTCTGAACAAGTAGTTATCTGAAGGAAAAGAGAATTTAAGATGAATATTTTATCTTAGATATTAACATTATATTTGTACCTTGATAAACTAGGAAGGGAAGGTTTGGGAGTAAAACCAAACCCTTTAAGGTCCACACTTTGAGATTTATTCATCTGTACCTAATGAAAAAAAATTATGAGTTCAACTATCAGTTTTACATGAAGACCTTTTAATAAATGAGTCAAATGGCACATCACAGTCATATCTAGTATATAAACAGAAATCAATGAACTAGAAACAACTCAGACTAGTTCTCAGCTCAAATATTTCTCATATCATTCATATATATATGAATATATATATATATATATATATATATATATATATAATTTTTTTGTAGTTGTAGATGGACACAATACCTTTATTTTATTTATTTATCTTTACGTGGTGCTGAAGATCAAATCCAGGGCCTCACACATGCTAGACAAGTACTCTACCACCGAGCTACAACCTCAGCCTGTTAGTCTTTCTTAAATGTTGCAATCTTTATGGTTCTTTACTAGGTCTTCTCTTTTCACTCTATCTGTTCTTAAAAATTGATTTAGTCCCATGTCAACTATCATTTTTCATGTGAATGACTCTCAAATCTGTTTCTAGCTTAGCTCTCCCTCCTGATTTTTCAGTTACATCCAACTGTGTGTAGGGCAATTATACTAGACATTTTTGTAGACCTCTAAATTTGGTTATTTCCAAAATTGAATTTATCCTTCTCTGTTTCCCCAAACTTGTTTTTCCTTTACTGCTCCTACCTAACTTTTCTCCCAGTTGTTCAAGTCAGAGAGCTGGACATCAGTTTTGACTACTTCCTTCAACCTTCCCCTTTAGGATCAGTGAAGTACCAAGGTAGTTGATCCCTTCTCTGAAAATATTTTAAGCTCTATCAATTCTCCCCATTGCTACTGGCACTACCATAACTTAGGCCATCATTTTCCTTGAAATATTACAAAAACAAACTAATGAGTCCCATTTTTCATTCTCTAATTCCTTCTCTACATTGCAGCCAGCGTGATCTTTATGAAATGTAATTCAGATCATTTCACTGAGTAAAGCCCTCAGTGCCTTACCAATACTTTCAAAATAAAATATAAATCCCTAAATAGTGAAAAGGTCAGTATGATTTAGTTTGTACTTAGCTCTTTAGCCTCATCTCCCTCTATACTACTTGCAACTGAACTCTAGACATACTGTATTATTTCAGTTCCTTTAAAGATCTTTCTTCTCCCTACCTCTCCCTTGGGATATCTGAGTATTTTTTAATACCTCGATATATTTTTCTATCTCTCCCATTGGCCATTCTGTTCTCAGATACCTCCATACTTGGCTTATCTTTTGGGTCTCAATCACATCTACTCAGAATCCTTTCCTGGCCCATCGAATGAGGCTTCTGTATACTTTTGTTTAAATCTAAACTGAGCATTTAAAAAACTTTTTTTTATTTGTTCTTTTTAGATATACATGACAGTAAAGTGTATTTTGACACATTATGCCTACATGGAGTATAACTTATTCTAACTTGGATCCCATTTTTGCGGTTGTACATGATATGGAGTTTCGCTAGTAGTGTATTCATATATGAACATAGGAAAGTTATGTCCAATTCATTCTACTGTATTTCCTATTTCCATCTCCCATCCCTTCCCTTCATTCCCCTTTTAAACTGAAGCATTTTTATACTTCTGTCATAGAAGCACTCATCACACTATATTAAAAGGGCCTGTTTTACTTATTTGTATCCTTCGTTCAACTATAAATTCTATGAGGACTGGAAATAAAACTGTCTTATTTATCACTGTATTTTAGCCTGGGAATATTCTTAATATTCAATGATTACAGAAGGAAAAGAGAAAGAAAGGAAGGGAAAGGGAGAAGAAAAGGGGAAGAAGGGAGAATAGGAGGGAAAACATGTCAATAAAAATTATCTTCTCAGAGAAGATGGTGACTATTTCCTGCGTCATTCCTCTCCCTGTTTTCAGACATTCTTCTTGTTTAGACTCATGCCTTAAAATATTTATTCTTATAAGAGCCCAGAATAGGACTTTTCTACGATATAACTTAGGTTTAAGAATAGTCACTTAGTGACTAGCCTAGAAACCATTAGACTTTCATTTTTTTTTTATCTCTTGGAAGGAAGGCTCTTGTTCTTCTAGATTCAAGAATCCAAATCAACTTCAGAATTTCCAATCCAATCCAGCACAGAAGGAGCAAGGATTCCTGCCCACCCAGGGACATGCTGCAAATGGGCTCCTGTGGAGCGCACCCAGATGTTTTCTTGGGGTAGGGTTTAATGGCGCAGGCCTATAATCAAAGTGACTTGAAAGGCTGAGACAGGATGATTGCAAGTTTGAGGCCAGGCTTGGCAAATTAGGGAGACCCTGTCTCAAAATAAAAAATAAAAAGGACTGGGGGTGTAGCTCAGAGATAGAGTGCCCCTGAATTCAATCCCCCAGTATAGAGGAAGAGCAAGAAAAGGGCAAGAATGTCTAGTTCAGTTGTTGCTGAATTAAGCTAAACTCATATTCTTCTCATTTTCTTTCTTCATCTTCATTTCTCTCTACACTAAAAAAAAAAAGGTTTAAAAAAAAGGCTAAAGGGAAAGTAGGTTTACAGATTGACTATAATGGTCATATTTCTATTCAAGTCCACAAGTAATTCTAAAGTACACTGTGAATACCTATCTAATTGAGATACAAAATAAGTGATATTTATTCATTTAATTGCAGAACAAAGGATAAATGTTATTAGTACTAACCTTGAGACGTTTAACTGGAGGAAGAGATGAAACAGCATTCCTGTTTCTTAAATCAGATAAATATGAAGAAATTGTTGGTTCTTTAATATCTGACTTCTGTGCAACTCCAGTTTTACCTATAAAAATAAATTTCAGATACTTTAGGTTAAACTTTACGCATTGTTCATATAAAGCCAAATTTCTTCAAAATTTCAAATCTAATATTTATTTCATGTTGCCCACAGAAGACTGAATATTATATGAGAGTTATAAGTTGCATGATATCAATATCACAGACAGATAATTAGGATGTCATTACTATTTATCAAAGACTTTCAATTTTTAATGCCTAAAATGAACTTGTTTTATGGAACTCACAGCAGTCATGTCCACATGTATGTTTATTTTTACAGTGATGATTACATTCTCGGTTCCCAGGTTTTTTGCAGAGAGTTATTCCTAAATCAATATAAAAAAAGACCTATTTGTTAGGATAGCTATTATAATTAACTTAATATAATTAATTTTTATCTAGTTTCTTTTCTCTCAGACAGACAAAAGGATTTTGACTTCACATTTCCTCAAGTGTTAACCCATACAATTAAAAAAGTATTTTTAATAACAGTTCCTGTCCCATTAATAGCCCTAACCCATTTTCACAAAGAATATCTAGCCATCTATAAATTTATCACAATCTCTCTGGTATAAACAGAATCAAATACAGTGAAATATAAGTAACAAACTTTGTCTTTAATGAAGTGAGAATGAGGATAGAGATTTAAACATTGCTTTGCTTTATCCTTATGCTTGAGAATCTGGAAAGAAGCAAACCTCATGGCATTTTGATGGCACTACTGACTCATTAGTAGATAGGACACCATTCATATTTCATAAGTGTTAAAAATAAATGCATTAGGGATATAAAAAATTTGATATTTGAATTCAAAGAAAGGAAAGATTGCTTCCAGCTTGACTTCTCTAAGCTAGAATTAACATACCCATATATATAATTTATTCCTCATTTATTGTACTTTGAATAGGCTTTTTCTTGATCTTAATTCTAGTAACATGGATAAGAAGAGAGATATTTAAATTGGTCCTTGAAGGATAGACAGGATTAGGATATAAAAAGGGGAAAAAGAGAAGATATTCCAGATAGATGACATATTATTTATATTATAGGAACCAACATCAGCTTATTTTTGCTAGAACACAGATTTTAAGTGAAGTAGAAATGTTGGAGATAGTAGAGAGTTTTTAAAGACTTCTACAACCTTTCTTAGATTTTTTATTCTTCATTTTCAGAGTCACTCTTCAATCAACTTTCAGTCAAGTCATGATACACCTAGACAATGATAATATATGTCTAGCAGTGTGGGATAAATGGATGAGGCTGCTCCCCAGATGAGGCTGGTTTCTCTGTTTTTTAAAAAAATATCTATTTTTAGTTGTATATGGACACAACACCTGTATGTATGTATGTATGTATGTGGTGCTGAGGTTTAAACCCAGTATCTCACTAGTGCCAGGCAAATGTTCTACCATTGAGGTATAAATCCAGCCAGGGGCTGTTTTCTTTTGTGGCCTTAATCAGTACCTTATCAAGGAATTAAGTACTGATAAAGTAATTTTTAAAAAATCCCTGGAAGCTGAAAACTGACAGGTAAACCACAGTGTTCCCAACTAAACATAAACAACTTGGAGAATATAAACAATATACAATGTTATCATAGTGGAAGATGAAGATTTCTGTGCAATTATTTCTGAAACTAGATAAGAACACTCAAGAACCACAAAAATAATGAAATATCCCCCTCTTCTGGCTAACACAGATGACTACTATTTTTAAAATCCACCTCCAAGATAAAAAGACCAAAATAACCCATTTTTCACTTCCCAAAAGTATCCAATTTAGAACTAATCTCTGCTTTCCCTACACCCTTCTAAGAATCACCCAACATAAGATGAAATCCTGTCAGTTTCTCCCAACTTCCTGAGATGATCGATAGTTCAGCTGGTATTATATTCTTGTTTGCTGAAGAATGTTAGATAAAGCTAACTTTCTTCAAAGGCAGGTGTATTCCTAGGGGTCTTTGGTTGAAAGGCTTGTTGGCATTATACTCTGTAAGGAGTGCCAAGACTTACTTGTTTGGAAGTTGTGCCCCAGAGTCATGGTCTCATTACCTATAACTTAGATGGTATCTGGTTTCTTTGAAGTCAATTCTTCATGCTTCATATATTCCATATACTGTTGCTTAATTAATCCTCATAAAGCTCAACTCTGATTAGATAATTTGCCCACTTATCAACATTAGTTACTTCGCACTGACAAAATTAATTCCACATCCAAGGTCCTGCATAATCTGAAATTCCCTTTATAGCATCAATATTAATCCTACAACCATCAAAACACGTTCAACTGCCATTCTTCAAATAATCCCATGCCTTTTTCTGACTGTATCTTTGATATTACCTCATCTTAGAAGACCCTCAATTTCTTGTCTATTAGAAGCTTATCAACTTTTAAAGCAACTCATATGGCACCTCTACCACAAATCTATTGTGATCACTTCATCTGAAGTAATTTCTTTCTCCTTTGAGTCCTTGTGGCTTATTCCTTGTACATTTCGCTTACTATATGCTACCTTATATTTATATAGGTAAAGTACAGGGCACATTAGAGTAAAAAAAACATGAGTTCTAATGTGAACTTTTATCTGAAAAACAATATAAAACAAGAATTAAAAATAATACCTGTTGGGGCTGGAGTTGTGGCTCAGTGGTAGAGCACTTGCCTAGCATGTGTGAGGCACTGGGTTCAATTCTCAGCACCGCATATAAATAAATAAATAAAATGAAAGTCCACCAATATCTTAAAAAAATTAAACAAAATAATACCTGTCACTAGCATAAAAACAGACACAAAATCAATGGTACAGAATAGAAGACACAGACAAACCCACACAGATATTATCTTATCTTTGACAAAGGTGCCCAAAATATAAGTTGTAACAAATTGTGCTGGGAAAACTAAATATCCATATGGAGAAGAATAAAACTCTATCCTATAGCTCACCCTGCACAAAAGTCGATTCAAAATGGATCAAAGACCTAGGAATTAGACCAGAAACTTTGTAAATACTAGAAGAAAACCAAGGGTCAACATTCAACATATAAGTGTAGGCAATAACTTCTTCACTAGGACTCCTAATGCTCAAGAAATTAACTAATGAAATGGTATCAAATTAAAAAGCCTCCGCATAGCAAAGGAAACAAGTGTGAAGAGAGTACCTACAGAATGGGAGAAAATCTTTGTTAGCTATTTTTATGTCAGAATTAATATACAGGGGGTTGGTGTTGTAGCTCAGTGGTTGAGCACTAGCTTAGCACGTATGAGGCACTGGGTTCAATCCTCAGCACCACATAAAAATAAATAAATAAAATTAATATACAGAATATATAAATAACTCAAAAAATAACACCCAAAATAAATGAATAAATAACCCAATTATTAAATGAGCAAATTGATTAAACAGACATTTCTCAAAAGAAAAATTACAAATGGACAACAAACATGAAAATGTCCACCCTTTTTAGCAATTAGGGAAATACAAATCAAAACTATACTGATAGTTCATCTCATTACAGCTAGAATGGCAGCAATCAAGAATACAAATAATAAAGCTCAAATGGATGCTGGGGAAAAGGAATACTTTTATGCTGTTGGTGGGACTGTAAATTAACCACTGTGAAAATTAGTATGAAGATTACTCAAGACTAGGAATGCAACCACCATATGACCCAGCTATACCCCTCGTTGGTATTTAAAGTCAGCATACTATAGCAATACGTGAAAATCCATGTTTATAGCTACACAGTAGCCAAATTATGGAAGCAGCCTAGGTGACCATCAATGGATGAATAAATAAAGAAAATTATATATGTGTATATATGAGATAATTTTATTCACCATAAAGAAGAATGAAATTACGTCATTTGCAGAAAAATGGATGTATCTTGAGAGCATTATGTTAAGTAAAAAAAAGCCAAACTCAAAAAGTCAAGAGTCATATTTTCTTTCATATGTGGAAAGTAGATAGAAAAAAAGGGGAAAAGGCAGTGAAAATAGAAGGAAGACCAACAGAATAGAGGAAGGGGACCACAGGAGGCAGGTTAGGAGATAAAAGGGAGGTACTGAGGAAAAAAATTAATTAAATTATCTTCTTATATTGTGTGCAGGTATGAATGTGTAGCAACAAATCCCACTATTATGTATAATTACAATGGACTAATAAAAGTCTTAAAAAAAATACCTGGTCTCTCTAACGTCAGAAAGGTAAAAAGAGAAAATAAACTTAAGTATAAAAAAGTATTTTTAAATTAAGTGAAAAAATAATATATTAATGTGTGTATCATCTATAATCTTACATTAATTCAAGATTATACAAATAATCATAAAATTAAAACCTCTGATATCTGGGGTTGTGACTCACAGAAAGAAAGCTTGCCCAGCATGTGTGAGTCAGTGGGTTTGAGTCTCAGCACCACATAAAAATAAATAAAATAAAGGTATTGTGTTCATCTACAAATAAAAAAATATTAAAATAATAACCCTCTGAATATCATGAAGAAGAGGAACACACTATACATATCACCATGCTATGTGATGATGAGGTGTTGTCCTAGTCAGGAATGTTGGGCAGAGGATTGAAGAAAGAGTGGGAGTTAAAAAGGCAAAGAAATAGGAGAAAGAGTTTTAGGCAGAAGGCACAGCACATACTAAAGCTCTATGAAAGGAAAAGCATAGCCCACTGGAGAAATCAAAATATTAGTTTGGCTGATGCAAGCAAATAAGAGAGAGTACATGAGACTACTGGTAGAAAAGATAGCTTATTGTGTAGGGGAACAGCTCTACCATAGGCACCCTGGCAATTGCATGTTTTCACATAGACCATGTTGATAAGGCTCAACTACTGGCAGAATGGCCTACCATCCTCCTTGGAAGATAGGCAGTCTTATGAGGAGCTCTTTCTCATTTGACTCCTTAGCTTGTAGGAGGCTCCCTATCTTGCATGAGGCTGCCATGAAGCAGTTTCTCATCTGCTTTCCTGATTCCAATAAGGCATGAGACTTTCCATTTTTCCCACTTCAGACATAGCTGCAGGATAGAGTTCATACCTCAAAAAAAGCAATCCACCATTCATGTTTGGCCCCTAAGGTCCAATGTCATCCTGTGGGATGAAGGGTGTTGAGTAGCTGATACCATGCTGATTGTGCTTTGCTGTTTGTATAAGTATTAAACTGAGTCTCTTATGTCATTTCCAGCCAACTCTTCAGAAATGAGGCAAGATCATGTATAAGCTGCCATCACATTGTTGCTTAGGCACAGGTTGACCATTCGACTGTGTGGAACCCTGTAGGGCATGCTAATGATTTAAATTTTAAGAGCTATAGGAAGT